AACCCTGAATTCCCAAAATTCCCCAAAAAATCCCCAAAATTCCAGCTGAAATCCTGCCCAAATTCCCCCAAATTCCCAAAATTCCAGCTGACATCCGGGCTGGGGCAGGGGGGATTTTTTGGGATTTGGGCAGGAATTTCGGGGATTTCGGGGTCGGGGATTTTGGGGTGAATTCGGGGGATTTTGGGGCTCACCTGGGGGGCAGCACCACAGGAGCTCCCAAATGTCCATTTTTGGGCTGGATTTTTGGGATTTTGAGCCATTTTGAGCGATTTTGACGGGGTTTTTTGGGGGATTCTCACAGGAATTTCGGGGATTTTGGGGTCGGGGATTTTGGGGTGAATTCGGAGGATTTTGGGGCCTCACCTGGGGGGCAGCACCACAGGAGATCCCAAATGCTCGATTTTGGGGTGGATTTTTGGGATTTTGAGCAATTTTGACGGGGTTTTTTGGGGGATTCTCACAGGAATTTGGGAGATTTGGGGCTCGGGGATTTTGGGGTGAATTCGGGGGGTTTTGGGGCTCACCTGGGGGGGCTGAAGCCGCACGGGTGCTGCCGAGTGCCCGATTTTGGGGCGGATTTTGAGCCGTTTTGAGCGATTTTGACGGGGTTTTTTGGGGGATTCTCACAGGAATTTCGGGGTCGGGGATTTTGGGGTGAATTCGGGGGTTTTTGGGGCTCACCTGGGGGGGCCAGCACGTAGAAGTAGGGGCTGAAGCCGTGCAGGTGCTGCCAAATGCTCGATTTTGGGGCGGATTTTTGGGATTTTGAGCCGTTTTGAGCGATTTTGACAGGGTTTTTTGGGGGATTCTCACAGGAATTTGGGAGATTTGGGGCTCGGGGATTTTGGGGTGAATTCGGAGGATTTTGGGGCTCACCTGAGGGGCCTGAAGCCGCGCGGGTGCTGCCGAGTGCCCGATTTTGGGGCGGATTTTGAGCCATTTTGAGCCGTTTTGAGCGATTTTGACGGGGTTTTTTGGGGGATTCTCACAGGAATTTCGGGGATTTGGGGGTCGGGGATTTTGGGGTGAATTCGGAGGATTTTGGGGCTCACCTGGGGGGGCCAGCACGTAGAAGTAGGGGCTGAAGCCGTGCAGGTGCAGGCAGACGCTGAGCCCCTCCCCCGTCACCCCGAACATCCGCAGGATGGGGGAGGGGTGGGGCCAGCCCGGGAACCCGCGCGGGGGGACCCCTGGAAAAGGGAATTTGGGGCGTTTTGGGGAAATTTGGGGAAATTTGGGGGATTTGGGTGAGATTTGGGGCATTTCGCGGGGGAAATTTGGGAATTTTGGGGGGATTTGGGTGAAATTTGGGGCATTTCGCGGGGGAAATTTGGGAATTTTGGGGGGGGAATTTGGGAATTTTTGAGGATATTTTGGGAATTTTTGGGGATTTGGGGGTCTCAGAGGTGATTTAGGAGGTTTGGGAGGAATTTTGGGGAATTTTGGGTGATTGAAGGGGGATTTTGGCAAAATGGGAGATTTCAGGGCTCCCAGGGTGATTTTTGGACTGAATTTGGGGGAATTTTGGGGTTTTTGGGGTGAATTGGGGTCTGGGGGTTTTTCAGGGCGGGTTTTGGGGTGAATCCGGGCAGTTTTTGGGGGGAATTTTGGGGTTTTTGGGGGTAATTTTGGGAGGAATTTCGGGGTTTTTGGGGTGAGTTCAGGTCTGGGGGTTTGGGGTTTTTCAGGGCCGGTTTTGGGGTGAATCCGGGCGGTTTTTGGGGGGAATTTTGGGGTTTTGGGGGGGAATTTTGGGGTTTTTGAGGGGAATTCAGGTCTGCGGGTTTGGGGTTTTTCGGGTTAGTTTTTGGGGTGAATCCGGGCAGGTTTTGGGGGGAATTTCGGGGTTTTTGGGGGGAATTTTGGGGTTTTTGGGGTGAGTTCAGGTCTGGGGGTTTGAGGGTTTTTCGGGTCAGGTTTTGGGGTGAATCCAGGCGGTTTTTGGGGGGAATTTCGGGGTTTTTGGGGGGAATTCAGGTCTGGGGGTTTGGGGTTTTTCAGGTCAGGTTTTGGGGTGAATCCGGGCGGTTTTTGGGGTGAATCCAGGCAGTTTTTGGGGGGAATTTCGGGGTTTTTGGGGTTAATTCAGGTCTGGAAGTTTGAATGTTTTTCGGGTCAGTTTTTGGGGTGAATCCGGGCGGTTTTTGGGGGGAATTTCAGGGTTTTTGGGGGTGCATTCAGGTCTGCGGGTTTGGGGTTTCTCGGG